GTGTCGCCGAGCGTTTTGACACCATCAACTTTGCAGCGTACCAGCGATTCCAAGGACGAACCGGGCAGCACACCACAGCTGGACCTACCAACCGCACCAACGGTCCTACTCCCATGGAGCTCGGTGTGGTGGACCAGCGCACACGCAACCAATCCACGCTCACGTGCTACTCGTGCGGGAAAGTCGGCCACATCAAGCGACACTGCCCGAACCGCCGCAACTTCGAAAGGTCTCCGGGAAACGGACAGCGCCAGTAGCAGTGGGGCAGACCTCTGGCGCATCGCATGCCCCGCTTCTCCCGACCCCATTATCCATCGGCACCTCCGAACTCTACACCACATCAAACGCCCCATTCCCCGCTATCATTCTATGGGCAAAAATAAAGGATCGCTACGTTGACTTTCTATTCGATACCGGCGCTTCAGCAAATTTCCTCTCTCCCTCTATTGTGGCTGAACTTTCTCTTCCCGAAGATCCCAACAGCAACCCACAGGACGTCATCATGGCAGATGGTACTCGGCGGCGCTGCGGACCTACTCTCCTCCCCGTGCACTACATGTTCGGAAGTCTGGAGGCGACGGTCACGTTCGAGCAAATGCACCTCGGCGGCTATGAAGGCGTGCTCGGACGACCGTGGTTGTACCAGCTTGGACCGCGAATTTATTGGCGTAACGCAACGGTCACCGTCGGCAACTACGACCTCCCATCCCGCTCCTACAGTCGCCCATGGTCATCCCCAACAACTTCAGCCTCATCAACCCATCCACCCCAACCTGCCCCACCTCCAGCCTCCCATATCCCCCCTCTCCCTCCTCCTCTCATAGCCCCCGCGCAGCAGCCAACACCACCCGGCTCACCCGAAGTGATCAACACACCTCCTCCTTCCCCACCCCACCCAACCCAGCAGCCACGTCGTCACCTCTTCCGCCCCTTCTCTGAAGTTGTCAATCCACCAGCCCCCACCCCTCCTTCACCACCTCCTCCTCATCATCTCCTCGTCATCTTCACGGCTCCCGAATCTGAAGCATCAACTACTTCTCTGCCACCACCCATACAGAATCTGCTCAACGGCTATACGGACGTGTTTCCTGATGATCTACCCGCCGAACTTCCACCCGAGCGTGCTATTGACCATAGCATCCGCCTCATTCCAGGTTCTACACCGCCCGTGCGCCCAACCTATCGCATGAGCACCGCTGAACTTTTGGAGCTTCGACGACAACTCGACGACCTTCTTGCGAAATGTTTCATCCGCCCCAGCACCTCGCCATACGCTGCCCCCGTACTTTTCACACGCAAGAAGGAAGGTGACTTATGCCTTTGCATCGACTACCGCGCCCTCAACGCCATCACGATCAAGAACAAGTACCCGCTGCCCCGTGTCGAGGAGTTGTTCGACATGCTTGGGGAAGCGACGGTTTTCAGCAAGCTCGACCTACGCTCCGGTTACCACCAGATCCGCCTCGCCGAAGACGATATCAACAAGACGGCGTTTTGCACCCGCTACGGCCACTTCGAGTTCCGAGTACTTCCGTTCGGTCTCACCAACGCACCAGCCACGTTCATGGGACTCATGAACGATATTTTTCGGCCCTTCCTCGACCGCTTTGTCATCGTGTTCCTCGATGACATCCTCATCTTCAGCAAGTCTCTTGAAGAACATGCTCAGCACCTACGCATCGTCCTCGACATGCTTCGCCAACACCGCCTCTACGCCAAGCTCTCCAAGTGCACCTTCGCCCGTTCAAGCATCGGCTTTCTCGGCCATGTCATCAGCTCCAAAGGCATTGCTATGGACCCCGCAAAGGTCCAGTGCCTTGCTGATTGGCCAGCACCACGCACGGTAGCGGAGCTGCAAAGTTTCATCGGCCTCGCCAAGTATTACCGAAAGTTCATCTTCAACTTCTCTCACATCTGCGCTCCGTTGACCGATCTCTTCCGCCAAGGAGCTGTTTTTCAGTGGGGACTACCGCAGCAGACCGCTTTCACCGCAATCAAATCAGCACTCACCTCTGCACCGGTCCTCACCGTCGCTGACCCATCACGACCATACTTCATATGGACCGGTGCCTCCGATGTCGCTGTTGGTGCCATTCTTTGCCAAGACCACAGCCATGGGATGCAGCCGCTTGCTTTTGAGTCACGCAAGCTTCAACCGGCAGAGCGCAACTATGCAACACACGACCGGGAGCTCCTTGCCATCGTCCACGCAATCAAGACATGGCGCTGCTACGTGGAGCTGCAGCCCGTCACCGTCTACACCGACCATCGCCCTCTTCAACACCTGAAAACACAGCCCGTGCTTAGCCGCCGCCAAGCCCGTTGGGCTGAGTTCTTGGAGCAGTTTGTTCCATCGCTTCAGATCATCTACCGCCCCGGAAAGCTCAATCCAGCCGACATCTTGTCCCGGCCACCACCACCAGCCCCACCACCCACCGACCAACCCCAACCAACCACCAACCAGACCCACCCAACCACCAACCAGCCCCAACCAACCATCAACCAGCCCCACCACTCCCCCACCAGCTCCACCTCATCACCTTCACCTCACACTTCACACCCACCCTTGCAACTCCATGGAACCAGCAGCATCACATGGGATGATACCTTCATCACAAAGTTTCAGCGCGCCTACAAACGTGACCTGTTTTTTGTCAAGCAAGCACCCGAGGACCCGGCCTACTCATTTGAAGACCCATTTTGGTACAACTCCGTTACGAAGACCATTTGTGTCCCTGCTGATCGCTCCTTACAGCAGCTGCTACTTTCCGAATACCACGACACCGGCAGCCACTTTGGTGTTGAGAAGACCTACGCACGCCTTTCCAACGACTACCATTGGCCACGCATGCACGCTGATGTGCGTGACTTCATACGCACATGCCGGACCTGCCAACAACTCAAAGCACGCACCACCAACCGCTACGGACTCCTTCAACCTATCCCTCCACCTACCAAGGTGTGGGATGAAGTCACCATGGACTTTATCATGGACCTGCCCCGCACACCCCGCAACTACAACGCCATCCTAGTCGTCGTTGACCGACTCTCCAAAATGAGCCATTTCATCCCCACGCACACAACTGTCACCGCACCCGAAACATCTCGGCTTTTCTTTGATCACATAGTCCGCTTACACGGCCTCCCATCCGCCATCATTTCAGACCGTGACCCTCGCTTCTTGAGCAACTTTTGGCAAAGCCTCTTCAAGCTTCACGGCACCCGGCTGAAGTTTTCTGCCGCATATCACCCTGAAACGGACGGGCAAACCGAACGGATGAACCGCACGCTTGAAGACGCCCTTCGTGCACAAGTTAACGCTCGCCAAACCGATTGGGACCTCCACCTCACCGCCATCGAACTCGCATACAACAGCACACCCCATCTTTCCACCGGCCAGCCACCCTTCTACCTCGCAACCGGACAGCACCCACGCCTCCCCACAACCCCACCCTCCCACCTCTCCCACGCACCAGCAGCCTTTGAGTTCCTCACCTCACTCGAATCAGCCATTGATGCCGCTCGCACCTCCATCCTTAAAGCACAAGCCAAACAGACCCACTATGCCAACTCCCACCGCAAAGATATCCGCTTCAAGGTTGGCGATCAAGTGCTTCTCTCCACGGACCACTTACCTCTCCTACGCAAAGGCACAACCAGAAAACTCGCCCCTCGCTTCATTGGCCCGTTCACTATCACCCGAGTCCTCTCACCAGTCAACTACCGGCTCCAACTGCCCAGCTATATGAAGATACACCCCGTCTTCCATGTCCAGCACCTCCGCCCTTTCCGTGCACCTTCACACGACCGTCCAGCTCCACGCCCACTGCCACCGATGTTCGAAGGCAGCCCTGGCCTGTTTGAACTTGCATCTATCACTGCTCACCGCGACACACCTCATGGTCGTGAATTTCTTGTTCGTTGGAAGCACCAGCCACCGGAAGAAGACTCGTGGGAACCTGAACATGCCCTTGACCGTGCTGCCACTGCCGTGAACCGCTACCTCTCTGCCCACAACTTGGCGCCGTGGACGACGCCTCTTGGGGGGGGAAGTAATGCAACAGTGTGGCAGCCCACTGTTACTGTTGGGCAGCCGCACAGTGCCAACCCACCGGCTAGTGGGAGGCTGCAAACTCCCAAACCACGCAAGGTTGGGATTGGTCAGCCTCCCCTCCCAGCATTTGGGCGCCCACCTGAAGACACGCAGCCCAAACCACACCCTCGCGCGAAAATCACGAAACGCAGAAAAGTCAAGCTCCGACCCCTCGCCGACTTCGCCAACGGTGCCGACGAAATTACAGCCCCGTAACCAAGCTCGCCGGCCAATCCCGCATCGCAATCAATCTCTGAATTTCACGGCAAGGTTCATTTCAAGGGGTAGAGTTACCAATAAGAAATTCAGAGTGTCGCGACTTGGTAGTGCGACTCGATTTGTGAATGCATCCTATAAAAATTGTGTGTGAAATTTGTTGAAGTCATAGTGCAATTTCCAGAGAGCACTCTATACTCTTTTTCCAAGCCTACTAAGGCTGCCATCTCCCTGCCTAGCTCGTTTCACTGGTAATCAGAGCCTGGTTTGTTATTTCGCACGCTCCTGCCATATTCTAGACCCTATGGCTGGGCCGTCGGATATGACGCCGGAACTCTGGAACGAGTTTGTTGCTAATATGCGCCGAGAGATTGAACGCGAGGTGCGTGACCGGATCCTCGGCGAACTCCAGGAGCGTGGACTCCTCGGCACACAGGTGCCGACGCCAGCACCTGCTGTGGTTTTTGCACGACCCAAAGCACCCGAACCTGAACCGTTCATCCCTGGAAAACGTCACTTACCGGTGCGACGGTGGCTTTTCCAAGTGGAGGAATACCTCTCCCTTTGTCATGTCAACCGGGCGGAGTGGGCTCGGCACGCCGGCATGATGCTGCGGGGAGCTGCTGCTACTTGGTGGCAGAGCTGCCACGCTACAATTTCAACATGGGAAGATTTTTCTGCATCGCTCTTAATGAACTCCGAACCAGTCAACGCCATCGAGCGCGCGCGTGACAACCTTGCTGATTTACGCCAACACCGCTCGGTCGCTGAGTACATCAATCGCTTCCGCGAGCTCGTGCTTGAGATTCCTGACATCCCTGCTGCTGAACAGATGGACAAGTTCAAGCGTGGGCTGAAGCCGAAATTTCGCACCGAGGTTGAACTCCGTGGCGCTGCGACGTTGGATGAGATGATTCGTGTCGCCGAGCGTTTTGACACCATCAACTTTGCAGCGTACCAGCGATTCCAAGGACGAACCGGGCAGCACACCACAGCTGGACCTACCAACCGCACCAACGGTCCTACTCCCATGGAGCTCGGTGTGGTGGACCAGCGCACACGCAACCAATCCACGCTCACGTGCTACTCGTGCGGGAAAGTCGGCCACATCAAGCGACACTGCCCGAACCGCCGCAACTTCGAAAGGTCTCCGGGAAACGGACAGCGCCAGTAGCAGTGGGGCAGACCTCTGGCGCATCGCATGCCCCGCTTCTCCCGACCCCATTATCCATCGGCACCTCCGAACTCTACACCACATCAAACGCCCCATTCCCCGCTATCATTCTATGGGCAAAAATAAAGGATCGCTACGTTGACTTTCTATTCGATACCGGCGCTTCAGCAAATTTCCTCTCTCCCTCTATTGTGGCTGAACTTTCTCTTCCCGAAGATCCCAACAGCAACCCACAGGACGTCATCATGGCAGATGGTACTCGGCGGCGCTGCGGACCTACTCTCCTCCCCGTGCACTACATGTTCGGAAGTCTGGAGGCGACGGTCACGTTCGAGCAAATGCACCTCGGCGGCTATGAAGGCGTGCTCGGACGACCGTGGTTGTACCAGCTTGGACCGCGAATTTATTGGCGTAACGCAACGGTCACCGTCGGCAACTACGACCTCCCATCCCGCTCCTACAGTCGCCCATGGTCATCCCCAACAACTTCAGCCTCATCAACCCATCCACCCCAACCTGCCCCACCTCCAGCCTCCCATATCCCCCCTCTCCCTCCTCCTCTCATAGCCCCCGCGCAGCAGCCAACACCACCCGGCTCACCCGAAGTGATCAACACACCTCCTCCTTCCCCACCCCACCCAACCCAGCAGCCACGTCGTCACCTCTTCCGCCCCTTCTCTGAAGTTGTCAATCCACCAGCCCCCACCCCTCCTTCACCACCTCCTCCTCATCATCTCCTCGTCATCTTCACGGCTCCCGAATCTGAAGCATCAACTACTTCTCTGCCACCACCCATACAGAATCTGCTCAATGGCTATACGGACGTGTTTCCCGATGATCTACCCGCCGAACTTCCACCCGAGCGTGCTATTGACCATAGCATCCGCATCACTCCAGGTTCTACACCGCCCGTGCGCCCAACCTATCGCATGAGCACCGCTGAACTTTTGGAGCTTCGACGACAACTCGACGACCTTCTTGCGAAAGGTTTCATCCGCCCCAGCACCTCGCCATACGCTGCCCCCGTACTTTTCACACGCAAGAAGGAAGGTGACTTACGCCTTTGCATCGACTACCGCGCCCTCAACGCCATCACGATCAAGAACAAGTACCCGCTGCCCCGTGTCGAGGAGTTGTTCGACATGCTTGGGGAAGCGACGGTTTTCAGCAAGCTCGACCTACGCTCCGGTTACCACCAGATCCGCCTCGCCGAAGACGACATCAACAAGACGGCGTTTCGAACCCGCTACGGCCACTTCGAGTTCCGAGTACTTCCGTTCGGTCTCACCAACGCACCAGCCACGTTCATGGGACTCATGAACGATATTTTTCGGCCCTTCCTCGACCGCTTTGTCATCGTGTTCCTCGATGACATCCTCATCTTCAGCAAGTCTCTTGAGAACATGCTCAGCACCTACGCATCGTCCTCGACATGCTTCGCCAACACCGCCTCTACGCCAAGCTCTCCAAGTGCACCTTCGCCCGTTCAAGCATCGGCTTTCTCGGCCATGTCATCAGCTCCAAAGGCATTGCTATGGACCCCGCAAAGGTCCAGTGCCTTGCTGATTGGCCAGCACCACGCACGGTAGCGGAGCTGCAAAGTTTCATCGGCCTCGCCAAGTATTACCGAAAGTTCATCTTCAACTTCTCTCACATCTGCGCTCCGTTGACCGATCTCTTCCGCCAAGGAGCTGTTTTTCAGTGGGGACTACCGCAGCAGACCGCTTTCACCGCAATCAAATCAGCACTCACCTCTGCACCGGTCCTCACCGTCGCTGACCCATCACGACCATACTTCATATGGACCGGTGCCTCTGATGTCGCTGTTGGTGCCATTCTTTGCCAAGACCACAGCCATGGGATGCAGCCGCTTGCTTTTGAGTCACGCAAGCTTCAACCGGCAGAGCGCAACTATGCAACACACGACCGGGAGCTCCTTGCCATCGTCCACGCAATCAAGACATGGCGCTGCTACGTGGAGCTGCAGCCCGTCACCGTCTACACCGACCATCGCCCTCTTCAACACCTGAAAACACAGCCCGTGCTTAGCCGCCGCCAAGCCCGTTGGGCTGAGTTCTTGGAGCAGTTTGTTCCATCGCTTCAGATCATCTACCGCCCCGGAAAGCTCAATCCAGCCGACATCTTGTCCCGGCCACCACCACCAGCCCCACCACCCACCGACCAACCCCAACCAACCACCAACCAGACCCACCCAACCACCAACCAGCCCCAACCAACCATCAACCAGCCCCACCACTCCCCCACCAGCTCCACCTCATCACCTTCACCTCACACTTCACACCCACCCTTGCAACTCCATGGAACCAGCAGCATCACATGGGATGATACCTTCATCACAAAGTTTCAGCGCGCCTACAAACGTGACCTGTTTTTTGTCAAGCAAGCACCCGAGGACCCGGCCTACTCATTTGAAGACCCATTTTGGTACAACTCCGTTACGAAGACCATTTGTGTCCCTGCTGATCGCTCCTTACAGCAGCTGCTACTTTCCGAATACCACGACACCGGCAGCCACTTTGGTGTTGAGAAGACCTACGCACGCCTTTCCAACGACTACCATTGGCCACGCATGCACGCTGATGTGCGTGACTTCATACGCACATGCCGGACCTGCCAACAACTCAAAGCACGCACCACCAACCGCTACGGACTCCTTCAACCTATCCCTCCACCTACCAAGGTGTGGGATGAAGTCACCATGGACTTTCTCATGGACCTGCCCCGCACACCCTGCAGCTACAACGCCATCCTAGTCGTCGTTGACCGACTCTCCAAAATGAGCCATTTCATCCCCACGCACACAACTGTCACCGCACCCGAAACATCTCGGCTTTTCTTTGATCACATAGTCCGCTTACACGGCCTCCCATCCGCCATCATTTCAGACCGTGACCCTCGCTTCTTGAGCAACTTTTGGCAAAGCCTCTTCAAGCTTCACGGCACCCGGCTGAAGTTTTCTGCCGCATATCACCCTGAAACGGACGGGCAAACCGAACGGATGAACCGCACGCTTGAAGACGCCCTTCGTGCACAAGTTAACGCTCGCCAAACCGATTGGGACCTCCACCTCACCGCCATCGAACTCGCATACAACAGCACACCCCATCTTTCCACCGGCCAGCCACCCTTCTACCTCGCAACCGGACAGCACCCACGCCTCCCCACAACCCCACCCTCCCACCTCTCCCACGCACCAGCAGCCTTTGAGTTCCTCACCTCACTCGAATCAGCCATTGATGCCGCTCGCACCTCCATCCTTAAAGCACAAGCCAAACAGACCCACTATGCCAACTCCCACCGCAAAGATATCCGCTTCAAGGTTGGCGATCAAGTGCTTCTCTCCACGGACCACTTACCTCTCCTACGCAAAGGCACAACCAGAAAACTCGCCCCTCGCTTCATTGGCCCGTTCACTATCACCCGAGTCCTCTCACCAGTCAACTACCGGCTCCAACTGCCCAGCTATATGAAGATACACCCCGTCTTCCATGTCCAGCACCTCCGCCCTTTCCGTGCACCTTCACACGACCGTCCAGCTCCACGCCCACTGCCACCGATGTTCGAAGGCAGCCCTGGCCTGTTTGAACTTGCATCTATCACTGCTCACCGCGACACACCTCATGGTCGTGAATTTCTTGTTCGTTGGAAGCACCAGCCACCGGAAGAAGACTCGTGGGAACCTGAACATGCCCTTGACCGTGCTGCCACTGCCGTGAACCGCTACCTCTCTGCCCACAACTTGGCGCCGTGGACGACGCCTCTTGGGGGGGGAAGTAATGCAACAGTGTGGCAGCCCACTGTTACTGTTGGGCAGCCGCACAGTGCCAACCCACCGGCTAGTGGGAGGCTGCAAACTCCCAAACCACGCAAGGTTGGGATTGGTCAGCCTCCCCTCCCAGCATTTGGGCGCCCACCTGAAGACACGCAGCCCAAACCACACCCTCGCGCGAAAATCACGAAACGCAGAAAAGTCAAGCTCCGACCCCTCGCCGACTTCGCCAACGGTGCCGACGAAATTACAGCCCCGTAACCAAGCTCGCCGGCCAATCCCGCATCGCAATCAATCTCTGAATTTCACGGCAAGGTTCATTTCAAGGGGTAGAGTTACCAATAAGAAATTCAGAGTGTCGCGACTTGGTAGTGCGACTCGATTTGTGAATGCATCCTATAAAAATTGTGTGTGAAATTTGTTGAAGTCATAGTGCAATTTCCAGAGAATTCCAGAGAGCACTCTATACTCTTTTTCCAAGCCTACAAAGGCTGCCATCTCCCTGCCTAGCTCGTTTCAGGTTAGTACAACTTGGGACCGAAGGGGCAGAGAGTGGAGATCGGGTGGAGCTTGGGCAAGGGCGCACGCAGGGTGGTGTAGGGGGAAGAGAGTCGACTCAATGAAACGCTGACGTTAGCAACGGCAAGCCAGGGGCAGGAGCATCGCATCGCGCGAGGCAGGCAGCAGGTCGCGCGGCGATGGAGCTTCCGCCCGATGCGCGGCGGGGCAAGAGCCGCGCGGCGGCCGTGAGCCCGTTGGTGCTGCGCGAAATCGTCGCCGTGCGACGCGCGCACCCCGAGCTCGCGAACGAGCACATCGCGACGGCCGTCAACGCGCAGTACGCACGCGCCTCGGCAGCAGCGACGTCGATCGACTGTACTGAAAGGCCACCGTCGAAAGCAGCGTAGGGAAGAATAAATTCGTTCGTTATAAGAACGCGGAGCTTGAGGCGGAGTTAGCGCGGTGGACGCGGGAGAGGCGGCTGCGTCTCGAAACGAAAAGGGCGGCGCGGGGGAAAGGGGAGGTCCAGAGGTCGAGCATCGTGGCCTACCTGCAGAATTACGCGCGGCGCATCGCAGAGCGGTTCGGCGTGCCCCCTCTATTCGAGTTCGAGCGCAGGTGGTGCTGCGAAGTGCTGCGCGACGCGGGTCTCGACGAGTGCGGCGAGGAGGCGGGGACGCGCGCGGGGGACGAGGGGGGGACGCGGGGGAGGGACGAGGCGGAAACGCGCGACACGCAGGGGGAGAAGCAGGACGACCGCGTCGCACGCGATAACGGAGAGGCGCCGGACTCCGCTAGTGCTGGCGAAGGCGGCTTAGGCGGCGCTGCGGCAGGCGAGCTGAGTACGAGCAGAAGCGGTGGGGGCGATGAGGGCGGAGAGCCCGACAAGGCGCAGGTACCTGCGGGCGCACCGTCGTGGGCGCGGGGCAGCGCCGCCGCGGCCATACGCTACATCGGCGGAAGCAGCAGCATATCGCCCTACGACGGGTCGGGCGCGACGGCTGGCGCGGGCAGCGCGGGCGCGTGCGGTACGAGGTGGCGCTGCGCGCGTGCGGTACGAGGTGGCGATGGTGGCGTGCGTGCGGTACGAGGTGGCGATGGTGGCGTGCGTGCGGTACGAGGTGGCGATGGTGGCGTGCGTGCGGTACGTGGAGGAGGGGCGTTGCAGTGAGGCTTGGGCGAGCAGGTTCGTGCGGCGCTATGGGCTGCTGCTGCTGCGCCTCGCTGAGACTCGCCGGGGCGCCGGGGAGGGGGCTGAGGGGGAGAGGAGAGGAATGGGGAAGGAGGGTGGAGGGGCGGGAGGTGCGAGTGGGAGTGAAGCGGGGTGGTGGAGGAGAGGTAGGAGGAAGCTGAGGACGAAAGTGAGGCGCATGGGAACAGCGAGTGATGATGAGGATGCGGAGGGGGAAAATCTCGAGGAGGAGTATAAGGAGGACTGGGCGGGGTACGATGGCTGCCATGCTGCTGGCGGTGCTGCTGCTGCTGCTGCTGCTGGCGCTGCTGCTGGTGCTGGGGCGAGCGTGAGTGCGAGTGCGAGCACGGGGTGCGAGAGGGACAGGCGGATGGGGCTGCTGCCGGGGGTGGAGAACCCGTACCGCCATGCTCGCGCTCTGCTCATGCGCCTGGCACGGCAGGAGGGTGCCATGCAGCCCGCCCACGTGCTGGAGGAGGCGCTGCTGGACGCCGGACTGCTGGGCCCACTGCCAGCATCGGAATCACCACTGCCACCAGTGCCAGCGCCACGAGAGGACCAGGTGCAGCGTGGCGAGCCAGCAGCACCAGCAGCACCAGTAGCAGTGGGCGGTGAGGAGCGAGTGAGTCCTGCTGTGTCGCAGGGAGAGGCGGTGGAGAGGCAAGGGGAGGCAGACCTGGGGCGAGCAGGGGATGGAGGCGGTGGGAGAGGGGACGGCGCAGTGGGTGGCGTCGGGCAGTCCCCGTCCCCCTGGCATGATGATGCATGTCGCTCCGTGGCCCCCCTGCCCGCCATGGCCAGCCCTGAGCTGCAGGCGCTGCAGAGGGAGGTGAGCAACGAGAGCGTCGTGCTGCCCCACTTCCACTTCCTCCGCCTGCCCCCCGCCTTCCAGGGCAGCACTGGCGGGGGAGAGGGGGCAGGTGGAGGGGGGAGAGACCGCGGAGGAGCAGGAGGAGGCGAGAGTGGCGGTGTGAGCAGGAGGGAGGAGGCCCAAGGCAGTGGAGAAGGCAGGGCGGCAGGGGAGGAAGAGGCGGAGGAGGAGGAGCAGGGAGAGGAGGAGGGGGAGGGAGGGCGGGTGTACCTGGTGTGTGGGGATGCGGCGGCAGGCGTGGTGGTGGAGCGGCAGCTGCCAGGCGTCACGCTGAGCCGCATCAGAGCCATCTGCCTCGCCGCCCTCGCCCGCCCCCACCTGCCCCACGCGCACCTGCTGCACGCCATCTCCCACGCCTGGGGGCTGGAGCTCTCTCCCCTTGACCTGCGCGCCATCCTCGCGCAGACCACCAGGTGTGCCTCCTTCGCCCGCCTCCCCCCACCTGCACGCCATTTCCCAAGCCTGGGGTCTGCGCTCACTTGCCCTCCACCATCCCTGTTCTCCCACTTTCATCTCAGCACTCCCTTTACTGACCCCCCTCCCCTTCTCCACACCCCCCCTTCTCCTCACACCCCTTTCCTTCCCCCACCACCAATCCCCTCCCCCACTCTCCCCTGTGTCCCCCGTCCCTCGCAGGTTGATGGTGCTGCCGGGGGGAATCGAAAGGGCGGTGGTGGAGGGGCGGGTGAGGGAGCGAGTGTGGAGGGAGGAGGGGCAGCGGGCGGGGCGAGTGGAGGTGGTGCTGCTGCAGTGGGTGCAGCAGCTCAACGCCACCATCCTCCTCAACCGCGCCCGCTTCTCCTTCCCCCCCGGCTTCCACTGGGGCTCGCCTGCTGCTGCTGCTGCTGAAGCCGGCAATGCTGCTGCTGGCGCTGCTGTGGCAGGTGCTGCTACTCTCATTGGTGCTCAGAGTGGTGGTGGTGATGATGGCGGCACAGCTGCAGCAGCTTGCGGGGTGATGGAGGAGCACATGAGGCGCCTCTTCGGCCCACTGGATCCGAGAGGGCGAGGCGCCACCACTGCCAATCCCGATCCCAATTCTGGGGGCACCATGAGCGCATGGGTGGGTGGGAGCCTGCTGGGGAGGCACGGGGTGCCGTTCATCCTCACGCGCCCCATGCTGCGCCAGGCGGCGCGCCGCATCGCCCCGCTGCTGTACCGCAGCGGCAGGGGCTGCCCGCGCTTCGAGCTCAACTGGTGCCGCCGCTTCGTGTGCCGCCTTGAGGCTCGTCGGTCCCTGGCGCGTTTGAAGCTCACTGCCGCCCGCCAGGGGGGCCCGGCGCCTGTTGTGATCCGGTGGCCTGGGGAGGGGTGTAGGGAGGGAGAGGGCGTGGAGGAAGGGATGAGTGGGGGTGGGACAGACGGAGAGGGTGTGATGCGGGATGATGTTGCTGCTGCTGATGGTGCTGTTGATGGTGCTGCTGATGGTGCTGCTGCTGCTGCTGCTGCTGCTGATGGTGCTGCTGATGGTGCTGCTGATGCTGTTGCTGATGGTGCTGCTGATGGTGCTGCTGATGGTGCTGCTGCTGCTGCTGATGGTGCTGCTGATGGTGCTGCTGATGCTGCTGCTGATGGTGCTGCTGTTAGAATCTAGCAGCAGGAATGAATGAACTAGTAGCATGCAGGAGTACAAGTAGTAAACCCTAATTTGGGTTGTACCCCATATGGGCTACCCCACTACAACCTAGACAATATGCAGCATATGTTTGACACACCCCCATAGGCAAAGTGGGGGAGAACAAGGGGTCACACTACCAGTCAAGAGAAGCAAGCTCAGGGTGGATCACAACGTCACCACACACTCTGAGCACAAGCAAAGGGCACAAGGCCAGTTCACATGCAGAGATATATATATGCAGCAATAACAGTACAGTGATGACTACCTAGCAGGAGCAGGCATGCAGGTATATATATATAGATCACCGTACAAGCAAAGACTTTAGCAAGTGTGGAAACGTAGGCACAAGGCCTAACAGGGTACAAAAGCGCTGATGATCACCAGGCGGAAGTGCCTTGGTGAATATATCAGCAGTGTTGGCCCGAGTGGCCACGTGACGAAGACGAAGCTGACCTCGCTGCTGCAACTCTCGAGCCAGGAAGTAACGCAGAGCGATGTGCTTCGTTCTGTGCTCCAGTCTGTGCTCCTCACACAAGGCAATGGCGGCCTTGTTGTCGACATACAGCACTGGAGGAGAACGAGGCTGCTCTCCCAAGTCAGTCAGCAGGTAGGTGAGCCAGCGTAACTCCTGTGCAGCCATGGCTGTGGCGTAGATCTCAGCCTCACAACTGGAGCTGAGAACTGAAGACGAGCGTGTAGAACGCCACGAAACTGAACCACAGCCAAGGCTGAAGGTGTAACCCTGTGACGACCGCTGAGTAGCCAGGTCGTCAACCCAAGAAGCGTCTGAGTGCCCAGTGAGGACAACTGGGCTCGTCCCTCCAAGCACTAGCCCCATGCCTGATGTGCTGCACAAGTAGCGCAGTACCCTCTTAGCAGCAGCCATGTGCTCAGGTCGGTGCCGACCAGGAGCCACGTAGCGAGCCAGAAGACCAAGAGGGTACGCGAGGTCAGGTCGAGTGCAAGTCATCAGGTACATGAGGCAGCCGACTAGCTCTGGGTAAGGACCACTCGGCTCTACGGACTCGTCCGAAGGTGGAGCTGAGAGCGAGTGACCTGTAGCCAGAGGAGTGGCCTGTGCTGAAGACCAGGTGAAGCCGAAGCGCTGAAGGACCTGCTGCACCATGTGTGACTGAGTCAGGGTGATGGTGCGGCGTGCTCTGTCCCGGGTGATCTGCAAGCCAAGGTAGCTGCGCAGCTCACCCAAGTCTGTGCACGTGTGTCTCTTCTGCAGCTCCGACTTCACGTGGGCGAGAGCCTCAGTGTCAGCAGTGGCAAAAACCAAGTCGTCGACGTACACGATGATGTAGAACGGCGGCAGTGAAGTGTCGGTGCGCAGAAACAGCGACGGGTCAGCAGTAGAAGGCGCGAACCCAAGAGCCGCAAGCGTAGTCCTCAGTGTGTCGTGCCACTCACGTGGCGCCTGGCGGAGACCATAGACCGGCCGCCGGAGGCTCCACTGGGTACCAGGAGGGAACGACCCAGTGAAGCCCGGGGGGCGGCGCAGCCAGATCTCCTCGTGCAAGCTGCCCTGCAAGAAAGCTGTGCTGAAGTCAAGAGAGTGAAGCTCGTAGTCACGGTGAGCAGCAACGTGCAGCAGCACCCGAAGAGTGGTCATCTTCGGGGTGGGGGAGAAGGTATGGAAGAAGTCTACTCCCTCTCGCTGACTGAAGCCTCGAGCAACGTAACGAGCCTTGAAGACAGGCGGAGAACCTGGCGGCCGCTTCACCATGAAAATCCACATGCCACTGACGATGTTCGCCCCAGGAGGGGGAACCTCGTCGACGTAAGTGCCAGTGGACTTCCAGGATGCCATCTCTGCGTCCATGGCTGTCTGCCACTGAGAGGAGTACTCACCCGCGATCGCCTCAGCGTAAGAGCGCGGGGTCGGGATGTCTGGTGCATCTGGGTCTCCCTCAGGGGCAAGCAGCATGGCCACGAGATGAGGCGCAGCGGCTGCAAGACACTCAAGGTCCTCGTGCCTGTCCTCAAGGACATCCGTGCTAAGAGCACACTCACCCCCGACGGACGGAGGACACACAGACTCAGACTCAGCAACAAGACTAGCGGCGTAGTCTAGACGACAGGCAGCAGCAAAGTCAACAAGCTCAGCAACCAAGGCAGACGCAGCAGTAGACTCAAACGACGGGTCAGTGACAACAGTGGCTAACAGACGCGTGACAGTAGGGTGCTCAGCACGAAACCAGTCAGACTCAGGGTCCGGAACGTCAGGCAGAGAGGACGCAGGAGGAGACGGCAGAGGAACAGGCTGCGGAGCAGAGGAAGGACGACGGACTACGAGGTGTGCGCTGGGGACAGCCGGCTGACGCGAACGAGGAACACGACGACCGGTACGACCAGGACGAACAGGCGAGACAGGACGCGACGCTGGCTCACGACGCTCAGCAGGACTACCTGTCTGCTCAGTGTAAGGAGAAGGAGCAGGCAGCGGTGAGCCAGGCTGTAACGGAAGACCAGTAGACGACGGGAGAGTAAGAACCTGACGAAGAAGAGAGTCAGGCGGCGGCAGAGACGACGGAGACGGCGGAGCGAAGAACAGTCGTGTCGGCGCAGCTGCACCAGTACCGGCAGCTCCAGCAGCTCCAGTAACTCCAGCAGCTCCAGAAGCCCCAGCCCCAGAGCCGACACGTCTAGTCCCAGGGTCTCCAACCTCAGTGTCTCCAGCAGCAGCACCCCCAAAACCAGCACCTCCAGTCCCAGGGTCTCCAACCGCAGTGTCTCCAGCAGCAGCACCCCCAGAACCAGCACCTCCAGTCCCAGGGTCTCCAGCCTCAGTGTCTCCAGCAGCAGCACCTCCAAACGCAGCACCCCCAGCCCCAACAGCTCCAGTACCTCCAGTACGAGCACCTCCGGGACCAGCGACTCCAGCACCTCCAGTAGACAAAGTACCAGCACCACTCCTAGCTCCAGGGACGTCAGCAGAAGGACCTCCAGCAGCAGAGCCCGGGGCTCCAGAAGCGCGACCCGGACGGCGACCGTACCAGTCGTGCAGCTGCTGTGAGGTGAGAGGTACACGTGGACAAAGGCGGCTACTCCAAGGAGACCGCACAACAGCAGACTCAGAACCCTCAGCGTCAGCACCTCGAACAGCTCCAGAACCTCCAGTGTCAGCACCCTCAGCGCCAGCACCTCCAGCAGCGCCAGAACCTCCAGCGCCAGCACCCGCAGCAGCTCCAGAACCTCCGTCTCCAGCGCCACCAGCACCAGGACCTCCAGCAGCGCCAGAGCCTCCAGCGTCCGCACCCTCAGCAGCTCCAGAACCACCAGCTCCAGCAGCGCGGCCCTGACGGCCAAGGTACCACTCAACCAGCTGCAGGGAGGAGAGGGGGAGTCGACGACGAGAGGGCAGCGGCGAGGCACCAGCGGAGCGACTACGAAGACGGCCGCTCGAGGGTGACTGCTCACCAGACGCCTCAGCACCCCCAGGGGCAGCACCCCCAGACCCCTCACACGCAGGCTCAGCACCTCCAGGCTCCACACCCTCAAGCTCCGCACCCCCAGGCTCAGCACCCCCAGACCCAGCACCCCCAGGCTCCGCACCCCCAGGCTCAGCACCCCCAGAAGTAGCACCCCGAGCAGGACCACCCTCAGCAGGACCTGAGTCACCAGTGACCTCAACCGGCGCAGTCAAGGGAGGAGGGTCTACCTGAGAAACACCTGAAGGGGCAGGACCTGGCGCGGGGAGGGGGTCTACCTGGGGAGCACCTGGAGCGAGGAAGAGCGGTGGGGGGGGGAGAGGGGCAGTGCGGTAGGGGAAGAGACGGTAAAAGGGAACCGACTCGTCGAACGTGACGTCCTGAGACGCAAAGACACGGCGCGAGGTGGGGTGGTAAAACTGCCGACCGGGCGCGTCAGGGACAAAGCCAAGGAAGACACAGGGAACAGCGCGGGCGGAGAGCTTGTCCGCGGTGGTATCGCGAACGTAGGCACGAGCACCCCAGACCCGGAAACGCGACGCATCGCCAACCTTCCCCGTCCACAGCAGTGTGGGCGAGGTCTCCGGCAAGGAGACACGGGGCCAGAGGTTGAGCTGATGCGCGGCGTACCGGACCGCAAACGGCCACAGAAAATGGGGGGCAGCCGCATGGATCATGGAGGTACGAGCGACCTCCATGACTAAGCCAATGCGGCGCTCAGCAACCCCATTCTGCTGCGGAGAGGCCGGAAGCGTGAACGTCTGGCGGATGCCGCGCTCCGCACAGTAGGCTGCCAAGAGGTCTGACGTTAACTCACCACCTCTGTCAGAGTGCAGACGCAGGACAGGAAAGTCCCGCTCGAACCGCTCGCGGAGCACGAGACGAACAGCGCGGATCCAAGGGATCAAGACATCAGGGAATTCCCCCTTGCTCTGCAAGGGGAAGACCGTGGTGTAGCGCGTGTAGTCGTCGACAACCAGCAGGAAGTACCGCTCGTGGCCGTGTCCACGGACGCGGGCTGGGCCCCACACGTCCAGGTGGAGCGTCTGCAGAGGAGCCTCCGTGGGAGGGAACGAGGAGGAGTGAGGAGCGGCGCGCTGCCGCCCCTCGACGCAAGGAATGCAGGGCGACGCAGGCGAGGGAGGGAGGGCAGGCAGAGACCTGGGAAG